TCTTTTTGTTGTGTCCAGACAGCTGGTCATCCAGTCTATTTTATGTTCATGGCTGTTTCTTCTGAGACAGTTTGTTCAGTAGTATTTTTGTTCATATAATTTTTGTTGTTGCTATTTTTATGTTTACTGTCAGTCACACTAGTTGCAGGTGCAACTGAACCTCTTTTGCCACAGTGAGACTGCAGTGCTGTAACCACTGAGTTTATAACAGAAAAAGCATATAGGAAGGCTGGTCTGCATAAGTATATTTATTGTTGTGAACACGGCTATGCTGCATTAGTACTAAATGAAAAAATGTTATTGGCCAGTAAAGTAATATGATATAATAACATTTTTGATGGCAGTAGAATTCAGTTCTTGTCTTCATATTATTTAAGTCTTCGGAGTATAATTTGATTTTATAGCTGATTGCCCATAGATACGCACTAATGTTGTTATAATACTAATCACTTCTGTTTGTCTTTGGTTAGTTGCATAATGTTTGTTTATGGAATATCTCACTTCTGTGTGACAATCTGCAAACTGAATTATCAGAACTTTATTCTTTTTGATATTTCTGTATATATTCCAAAAATTTCCACATGGATGTATAAGTTACAATCATTTTTCCTGTGGTCTGCTTTCTCAGCTGGATGACCACTTACATAATTTATGTGTAGCAAGATCTTCAGCATCAGGTTGTATGTTTTATAGTAGATTATCAAAGACATGTTGTATTTTATTATTATGAATTATAAATTTTCTTTTGTATATGGTGTAAGTCAACACATCAGACATTTTCCTTTGTCTCCAGCGCTCATATCAAGACTTTCCTGGCCAGTTCAGAGCCAGAGGAGCTGGTATTGGGTTGCTGCAATGCATTTGTTCGGAAGCTTATCTTCCAAACAGTGGGTCAGCGGTTTGATAGCAGTGTAGTGCAACTGGAGTCACGTCTAACAGACAAGAGGAATCGTGTTATGGTCGTGACGCGGGCTGGAAGTGTAGAAGAGAGGAAGAAGAAACAGCAAGAGAAGAAGGATAAGGAGTTGCAGGATCTCGAGGATGCTGTCGGCTTCACTTCAGTTTTGAGAAAGATCTCAGAGTCGGTTGGTTTCATTAATAATTTATTTATATTGATTAACATTCTTACCATATTTCACAAAAATATGACTTCAAACTACCACAGAATCATTCCCTCTGAAATGAAAGTAAAGCCGGCTACACGTACAGGTATACCTGTACGTGTGTAGTCGGCTTTAAGGCTTGCCACCTCACATCTACTGAATTTGGTACAGGTGGTTTTAATGTAAAAATGTGTGGGCTGCTTTAGAACTCTGTGTGGTGTCCTTTCTGAGTAGGTTAGAAGAGGAGGAAGATAACAGTTACATGTTTATTTACATCATACATGAAGAATGTGACTTTTAATATATTTAATGTGCCATCTTCTCACACTTCCCTTTATTACTGGGTTCACTGCTGGTGCCCACCCTGAGCTAAATGAATCCATTCCACATCATCCCACCCACATTATTGGGTGAGATTAATTTTAATATTGTCCTGTTTATGCCCAGATCTCCAAATTAACACTTCCCTCCAGGTATTCTGATCAAAAGTTTTGTGTACATTTCTCATTTTTGATATGTGTGCTACATTCTGATCCCATCTCACCCTTCTTGATCTGTTAATCATAATAATATTTGATGAAATGTACAAATGATGAAGCTCTTCACAATGTCAAGTGCATATGGCATATGCCAGTTTTAAGCTTGTTTAATCTACGAGGCGCGTCCTCAAAGTAAGTTTCCCACTCGTCCCACAGCTAGCAAACCTTATATTGCGTGAAGCGACTGTGCGTACGTGATAGAGCAATGACGTAGCATGGCGCATGCACTAACGGTACTTCCCGCGTTCTCACAGTAGCATCGTTGCAGCTGTTGAAGATGGAGATTCTTATTCCAGCTCCCGCCGACTGTGAAGTGCGGTCAGTGATAACGCTAGGCCGCACACGGCTCAACGGACAGCGAGTCTCCTGCAGGAGTTCAGCTGGGAGGTGTTTAATCATCCACCCTACAGCCCGGACCTCGCTCCCAGTGATTTCCATCTTTTCCTACACCTCAAGAAATTCCTGTCCGGTCAGCGTCAGCGTTTTGAGAATGACAGAGAGGCGGAGATGGCTGTCACACAGTGGTTCCAATCCCAGGCGGCAGACTTCTACGACACAGGTATTCAAAAGTTGGTCCCACGGTATGACAAATGTCTCAATTCCGGTGGCGAATATGTTGAAAAATAGCTGGACACTTGCTGTATCTGTTGCAATAAATATTTCCATGAAATTGTGTTTTGTTTCTGTAAACGACCCCAGGGAAACTTACTTTGAGGATGCGCCTCGTATTATACTACTGATTGAGCTCAGCTGTTAAATGTATAAGGTCATTGTGTCTGTTGCAGGGGAAGTTAGTGGTTGGACATAACATGCTGCTTGATGTATGTCATGTTATCAATCAATGCTACTTTCCATTACCTGAAGACTATTCAGAGTTCAAAGAAATGGTCAGATGTGTGTTCCCTAATTTGCTGGATACAAAGTATATGTCTGACTTACCTCTGTTCAAGGATAAAATTAGTTCAAATGCATTGGGCCATTTGTTTAAGACCTTGTCTGAAGAACCTTTCAAGATGTGCATAGCAAGTAAGTTTTAATAATTCTTTCATTTATTATTTTAATGATCTTGAATATCTTGTTTAGTCTGTGTTTCAAAGAAGACAAAACTTGAGCCACTGCCCCAAATCCTGCTCAGAGTGTGTGTGCTGTGCACAATATGGTATGCCATTTAGCATACAATGGAAGTGTCTCATTATGGTGGCAGTAATCGCCTGAAGACAGTACAGTGGATTCCAGAAACTTTGTGTCAAATAAATTAGATAATTTACAGTGTTGGACATAGTTCTGAATGGAGAAGAAGGCCTCCAGATATGGGGAATGGTTGCAAATTTATCGGATAAGCAGTTGTGTACAGTCAACAAGGGGTAATCCTCCAGCTTGAGGGTTAGATAGGGGGTTAACAGCTCTTCTTTAAAAAAAACTGGTATGATACAAAATGTTACATTTTGTGCCTCATTTGTCTGCTTTTGTAAATACAGTAATGAAAGTGGTTACATAAAAGGTGGGGAATTTCTTTACTAGCTGAGTAGCTGTTACCTCCTGAAGGACAGTGCTCCATGGAGTTTGTTAATTAGTGGTTACTATTTTATCAAACAGTAAATAGTTATGCAGTTGGTTGTGACTATTTTTAACCAGACTTTCAATATTGTTTGAATCAGTCACTTGTGAGGGCACTTCATAGAAGACAGTTATGAAAAATTAGCAAATTATTTTAATTTTGTTTATACATATGAACTGATGGTACATTATCATTATGAAAATTGATGTTTGTAATATGATAATATAGATGTTTTACTGCATGATTATTTTAATGTTATTTGGTTCCAAAACAATTTAATAATTAAGATGATAATGGGAAAATGTAATGTATAGTATTATGTTATGTGTATAATGTACATTGTTTTGTCATGTTTGCAGAATCAGAGGAAGATGGACATGGATATAGCTCCTTGGATGATAAATATCATGAAGCTGCATATGATGCATACATTACAGGACTTTGTTTTATTACAATGGCCAACCACTTAGGTAACATTGTTAAAACAATTCATTCCATCATTATGGTGTTTATAAATATTACTTTATTTTGAATGTGATATGAAGGGAGGATTTTTTATTTTATTTTTCTCTACCACATCTAATTGTTTCTGAGTGTAGTTATTGTGTTTTGCAGGTTCCCTGCAGAAGCCTGAAGTTAATCCAGTACTTCCTTCATCACCATTAATTAATCCCTATATGAACAAGTAAGCAATTAAATGTGCTTCAATTTTACCTAAGGAAGAAACTTTTATAAAAATAGTGTACCAGTGTGGCAATATCTGTATCAGATGTTCATGTCCAAGATCAGTATAATAAGGTACAAAGCATTTGCCAATGTAAGACTGAATGATTGGAGATAGGAGATGGTGTTTGTGATCTTTTTTTACCCTTCTTCCCTCTCCCCTATCACGATATTTACCCAAAGATGGCATTTTCAGAACTAAGTCTGTATGAGCCTATCACATAACGGTTGTTTTTCCAGTGTTGAAACTCAAAAGTTTATGTGAAGAAATGCAAGTTCTTATTACATGAAAGTTGCCTGTTATATGTTGAACCAAATGACATTTTTTTTTTTCATGCATGTTTGTATAAAACCATATGAATATATAATAGGGAAGTTGTTTGTCTGCATGTTGTGATGATTTAATTTTGGTATTTAGTCATTCATTGTGACACACTTACTTACGTGAAGTTCAAATGAAACTTAGCAGTTTTCTGAAACACAGATTTTTATATCAAAAATTGGTGTATGGCATAAAACATAACGGTTACTATTATCTAGAACTTTTACTTTAAACTGTTTTGTATATTATTTTTGTAATGAAAATCGGAGGAACAATTTCTGTCTGCAGAATATGTGTAGCTTTATGACAGTGGATTTGTATCTTCAGTAAATGATCATTGAGGCCAGTTAATACAGAACTGTAAAAAGTAACGCTTTTGTAGAATATATTTATCACATATTGGAGTGGTGCACATCATTGAAGTAATTATTTTATTAGTTGGGTAAAGTACACTGTAATTTTCTGAAATTATCTCACACACGTACGCACGCACACATGTATGTATCTCACCCTGACATTTCAGGATGAAAACTCCAGGTTATAAATATGTACAAATATGTTTCTTATTCTTTCACATGTTTTCCTTGGGTCTTAGGTTGTTTCTCCTAAGAGTGCAAGACTCGCCTTACATCAATCTTATTGGTGAAGATCGTAAGTATCTAGTCACATTGATGCATTATGCTTTGCAACTGAAAGTTATCATTAATATTTAATACATGTGCTTTGTTCACTTTTCAGCTGTAGTGCGTCGTGATCATGTTTTCTTTGTCAGCTTTCCAAAAGAGTGGAAAACATATGACCTCACACAACTTTTCAGTCCCTTCGGTAAGTTAAATTGATTTAATTGAAGATATGGGATTAAAATTCGGGAAAGAAGTTAGTGAATAAGTACTGATTATAATCAAGTACAAGGTTTTGATTATCATCATAATGAAATTGTGGTCAGTAATAACATATTTAAGTTCAAATACTTGGTACCATGAAAATAAATTTGTATAAGAAAACTTGAAAGGATACACACAAAAAAATTTATGAAGTGTTTGCAGTTTCTGCTGGTTATATATACAGTAAACCCTCATCCAACATGAGGGTCAAGTTCCTTGAGAATGGTGCGTAAGATAAGTTAAAGTTTGACATATTTTGTGCCTTATGGGTTAAATGGGGATATGTAAATGTGGCTGCATAAAGTCTCCTGGTAGATATGTATATTTTTACATACAAATGATTGGCTGTACATATATATGAAATAAAAACACAATAAAACCATTACATTTATGTATTATGATAAAAAAATATTAAATGTTACATTTTATTGGAAATTACATGCCTGTGAATAATGATGTGATGCTTTTGAAAGATGAGGGAACTAACTAAGACAATATACACATCTTTATAACAGTCTTGAGGCTCTGTTCTACAGACTGAAATTTGTTTTTGGTTAATGCAGATGGACTTAAATTTGTATTTGCAGGTTCTGTGTTTGTTGCATGGCTCAGTGACACATCTGCATATGTAGCTCTTCACCATCGCAACCAAGCATCTCTTGTCCGGAAGACCCTGACGCAGAGTGATACGTATACAGTGATGACATATGCAGCACATCAGCAAATCCAGGATGGAATAACTAATTGCAAATGTGCCCACAGTGGTGGCAAATCCTTGTGTTCATCCTGCGTGAGGAAGAGGGTTGTTGCCAAACAATCAGTTCCATCCTCTCCTACAGCTAGTGTTAGAAAAAGAAGACTGATAGAAGTTCTTCAAGAAGATTCTCCAGAAGTACAGACATCTGCTCCAAAGCGGAAAAGAAGTCTAAGCTTTGGAGAGTAAGTAGTGATTAATTTTATAATTTATAGGTGAGTGAAAATTGTTTCCTAAACCTGCCTTTCTTAATGCTTGCAGCAAGACCACTTACTCAAACCGAATTATTGATCCAATACCAGAGGAGCAAGAAATGGATATTGTAGGACACACTAAGCAAGCAGCCAGTAGTCAAGGTATGATGGGACAGTTTTGAAGCCTGTATAGTCCATTATGATAATTTGCATGATGTGACATTCCTTGTGTGAAGGTATTCAGAATACTTGAATGCTGTGAACTTTGTTAATATATTTCTCATTTGTGTGGACCACATTTAAAGTATGTTTTAATTTTAATGATTTTCTAGTTGGTGTATTTTTATTTTGTGCTCTAAAACTGTTAGCTAAAGATTTCATTGCATGAAGTCTTTGTTGATTTCAGGCCAGTTTTGAACTTTTTCCGTGAACTTTATTAAATAATATTGGTGTGAGATGACATAATGGTCATGTAGAATGTATTTAATCATTCAGAATTTTATTAAGTATCTGACCACAGATTTTAATTTTGCATAACATGTTAATGAGTTGTTAGGATTAAGATGTCAAGATTTTCTTCAATGTTGCATGCTTTCACAGCTTTTCACAACATTCTACTTGTTTACATATCATCCACAAAACCTTCATATTTCATTTGACACAGTATAATTTCTGTAAGAGTGTCATTAAATAGCGTGTGCAATCATTATCATTTTAAGTGTAATTAAAATTTTCTCTAGTAACAGGTGACAGGGTGAGTGACAAAAATACAAAAGCAAAATCCACTGGTGGTATTAATTCAACTAGCTCCAGTCCTAGTGATGACTCCAAGACACAGCCAAAACACAAACAGTTTGAAGAAAGTGACATGTGGGACTGAATGTCTGTATTTTAGACTTGTGTGCCACTTTCGGGAACAAGAAGATACTGGATAAGATGCAAGGCACTACAACCCAGAAGACAGCCACTTTGAGACTCAGGGCCTTGAAAACCTCAAATGCTGCTAAGATACTGAATGTTCTGATATTCCTAACTGGGCAATTACAAAGACGTTTGCAAGCGTAAGGCTACTTCTGCTTGATTAGAAACAGGTGATCTAGTAATATTTGCAGATGACATCAGAATATTTCTACTCTGCAGATTTTGCCTTGGATAACCATACTTCCCCTCTATTTTCAAACAGATACCCATTGATGGTTTCTTCAACAAATATTAAATTACTTTGTATTTTAGTAAGGGAGTAACACATTAAGTATGTCACTTTGAAGCATGAATATTTAAACACACATGAGTTCAAACTTCTGAGGTAATAATATCAGAAATACCATTATACTTATGGTATGAAATGTTTTAAAGTTATTCTGAATTGCATGACAAGTTGGTACTTTGGTTAAAAGTTAGGAATGAACAAATCTCTTAAAAAATTTTAATTACTAACATTGAATTTAACTTTGTAGTAGAAAAATTCTTAAAATATCAGATAAGATCAAATTATTTTCCAGTAAGTACTATTCAAAATACCCAGCTTTCACAAAAGCAACAGTTTCAGTTTTGGAATATTTCATGCCTTTGGCTGCCATAATTCTTCTAAATAACCATTTTGCATGTACTATTAATTAAGAATTGTATCAGGATATGTTGGTGTAGAGCATGAAATGTGTGTTTGCAGGTAGACAGCAAAACACAGGTGTGTTTACATCATAATGAAATTCCCCTTTTTATAATTACATTGTATGTATGTCTGTGATACTGCATCAAGGTATTAGAAGTAAAGCTAAAAAGAATTGCTTTCATGAAAGCAATAATATGTATGATGTTTCCATATCATATTTTTAACATTTTGCACTCCTTACCAATGAATACTTGATGTTTAGGGCTTCATTTTGATTAATCGCATGCTAAAATTTAGTTTCATAAGAGGAGAGAGATATTTGTATTACCCAAGTGTCCATTAAGCATTTTGTAAGGAACTGTTAACAACTGAATGTAAATACCAACTGTCATCCATAAAGACTCATCTGATTTATTTATGTGAAGACCCAACACCATCCCATTTTTAATCCAATTTTTAGCAACATTTACCTGTCTCCCTTTTCTTTAATGACTTGCTATATTTACTCAGTTCCCTCCATTGCATATTTTCCCTTATAAGTCTGATAATGTGCTTTTTGGTTTTATTTTATTCATAAATAGTTTTACATTTTCTACAGCTTTTAACACCTGCATTGAGAACAGGAATGTACATGTATAGGACGGACCCTTTTCATTTATATATACACATTTTTAGTTGCAAGAACTTGTAGTAGGATGCAGCAGAGGATTATGCTGAGATAGTAATGACTATTCTAATAAATCAGAATATCTCTGTATTCTGGAAAATGACAATAAAACCAGTACTTCTGTCTTCATTTTTCTATATTTGCCTTCCAGTTCTTCATAATAAGTTATTTGACTTGGAAAAGTGTCTATTAATGAAGTAAAGAACATCAAAATACATTCAGGAATCTTGTTCTATATCTAATTAATTGCACAGATTCATTTATACATACCTGCATACTTACCAATTGTAAAACTCGGCAAAATGATTAGAAGTATATTGAACATCTTGCTGTACCTCATATGGATAAGAAGTCAGTAAGGGTACTCCCGAAATCGACGGATCAGCAGATTAAAGAATCAGCTGCTTCTATGCCCGACTTATGTTTGAACAGTTTCACAAATTTACTTATGTATTGTATATAACTAGCAGAGGACATGCTGTGTACCAGCAGGCCAGAAGTATAACATGAAACGAGAGGGTTCGCTTGCTGCAGCTTGTATGAGGGTCTGGCGCACATAATTTCAATAATTTCCTAAGCGATAACAGAACTTCATATGTAATGTCGATAAGGAGTGTCATACGACTCCTAGCGATTCCACTAATATTCAACGTTTCACCATTCGTCCTGTCTATAACATTTATGTCAAATGCTATTTTAACAATAAGCAGATACTTATTAGAACACTTATAGTTTATTAACTTTCTTTCCTGGATGGTTTAGAAGAACTGTAAAGAATGGGGAAACGGAAAGCTACCTTTTGTTGTCGACGATCGTCATATTCAGATTTAACATACCTTCTTCTTCCTGACTGAACTCGTAGCTGGCAGTCGGACGGGTGATAAAAAATAGAGTTTTTGGTGTGTTTAGATAATGCGGTATAAGTATTTCTGGATTTCGGAACAAAAATATGTTGCCCTAATATTCCGTGGTCTAATGAGCATATCATTGCTAATGGCGTGTGGCCTTAAACAAGGAGTTCTGGTATATTCATACAACCTACTTCACGATTGTGTAGACTTCCAGTCCTGCAGATGTGTTATAATAACGTGTTTATTTATTCTGATATTAGTTTGCAACCCAATAAAAATGAACTTTTAACTTACGGGTTGGTTAGGTCGTCAAATCGAATCCTACTCGACTGAGATCGCGTTATTTGTTACAACTGTAAATATTTTACAGAGCGATGTTCTGTTGCTTTTTTCTCTCTCATAAGTTGGTAGTTATTTTTCTTTGGGGAAGAAGAAATTATTTAAGTTGAATTCCTGGCTGTGCTAGTTTCTGGTCTATCCATTCTATTCAAACCAAAGTTGGTCTGTTTTCTGCCTACAAGATGGTTGCATATCCGCTGAACTTAGGGAAGTGTGTGTTCTGGACAAACATTTTGAAGAGGCGAGAAAGAACGTGTTTGGAAGTTAAGTTTATTCCATTTATACTCTCTTCCTGTAAACGTTTCTCGTTCTGCAGATAAACCGTTGTGTCTTGCTTGTTTTTAGGCAACTTTAATTTCTTAAAACTACTTCCAGTTCTTCATACGTCTTAAAGGCGTGATACTTGATCCTTTCAAGAACGGTAGGAACTACAGGATGTCACAGAAATATGTATACCCACATTCAATGAATTAAATACATTTTAATAAACTAAACAATTACATAAATCAGCAGTGGCTTTTAATGAGTTAGCGAATCCGGCGTATTTGTTCAAAATGACTACCGCCCATATCTTCTGTAAAACAACACATGGAGATTGATAACAAGGTTAATATTCCGTATTGTAATATACCATTTACACATGTTCAAACAAATCAATGCTCTGTTTGGGTAAAATGTTCCTCATTTTAGTCGTCTGTTCATCGTAGGATGCTCCAGAGGACCCAGTACCTAGGCAGCATTTATGACCTCCCCGTCCCCTCAGAAATAATTCGACTTCGAATAAAGATGAAGCTAAAACATGCTTTATATTCTTGTAATGAAGCCGTATGGGGACACGGAAATAAAAATTCATTCATTCTAGACCTGTGCAGTATTGGCGGTGAGTGGCAGCTTTACGCTGTGACCACCACTTCAACTTGGTAGAAATGTCCGCGTGTGCCAGTTTTATGCGATCCTGCGTAGGTCCCCAAAATTGTGTATTCACGTGATGGCGAAGAGGATCAGGAACGTCCCCGCCCTTTTCGGGAATACAACCCGGCTCATTTTGCCTATAGCCAGTCAGTTTACTGACTGAGCTATCTTAGCATTAACTGGTCCCACTGACTAGGTAGGTGAACTTTCCTTTTTCGCTTGACGGACGCATCGAATTTTCGAAACTGCATAATTATTTCTTATCAAAACATGAACCAGGTTCGAAGAAAACACTACCGTGACAGTACGCTACGAAACCATTGCCAAGAACTTATCGAATCATGACAAATGGCTTTCTATTGACGTCAGTCGATAGATAAGGTTAACTACTTTCGGCAATAAGCGGTCTGTCTGTGAAAACAATGTCACAGTATTCTTTCGAAGAAATAGAATGAAAAATTAACCTTTGATGACCTTGAAGTGCTTTTACGAGGATGTGTAACTCGTCACACTATCTCGCATTACATACGTACACAAACGTGGCTCGTCTCCCCCGCAAGCTTCAGTCGATAACAAAGTGTTATTTTCACTAAATATATCAGAAAATTGCAGGTAATGTAACGTCACTTTAGTTACGTGACAATATTTACGATAAGCGCAGAACCTTGAAAGATGCAGCAAAAGATTACTGCACATAAATACCCAATGATGACATTTTTACATTAGGTTCCACATCGTAATGATTTTCGTCCTGTTCAAACATAATCGCTAAATTACAAGGATTACCGACGATGCACTGTGTAGGATTTGAGGTTTTCACGGCGGGGAGTCTGAAGATGGCTGTCTTCTGGGGTTGTGCG